ATTTATTTTCTATTACAATTGTAATATCCAATGCAATTTTTTGCAATAAATTAAAAAAGTCTTTATCTGTTGACAAAATTCCCAAAAATCAGTGATTATTCCAGTTGTAAATAAAACATCAAAACTTAAATAGGATTTAATTCATTTTGGAAAGAAATAAACGTCAAGGCCCTTTTTTTAGACATAAACAAAGATTGATTAGGGTTTGTTCATGATAGAAAAAATGGAATACGAATAAATGAGTAAATATTCATTAAATTAACATTCATAAACAAGTATGAATAAAAATTTTGCTATAGAAAGTTAACTTTTTGCTTACAATAATGGTACAATAAGATTTGAAATTTTTAATTTTCATTCGTATAAAACTTTTAAAAAAGATGTTACTGATTTTTTTTTAAAGATTAATTTAGAAATGAAAGCTCCATTATATTCCTAGAAAAAAATAAACCAATTTCGGAAATAAACTCATTTTTCCAACATTTTTTTAATATTTAAGTTCACTTTTGAAAACAACAAAAAAAAATGTGCACCATTAGATTCATTATGTATTTTTAAATGAGAATCCATACTTATCTCATTTATTTATTATCTATGTATCTCAATTAATTTATTACCAATTTATCAATTAGGGTTGACTTTGGAAATAAATAATTCATTTTATTTGTCTTCTGTCTTTCGAACTTTTTAAAAGAAACCATTATATCTGTACTAAGTAACGGCTATCTGGTATTTGTTATTAACACCATCTATTTGTAAAACACAAAATTATAAAGGTAATTGTTTTATTTCGAACTACTTAAATTGTTTTCTTTAAATAATTGTATTCATTTTGTTTCAGTTGATATCAAACGCAGTTACTTACCTGGTGGTCCTCATCCAATTCAAAGACTCTCCACCAATACAACTACACAATAAAGAAGTTGTAAAGTAATGTAATAAATGTAATCATTGGATCTAGCATTGTGTTAGATTCTTTACACTAATCTCTGAAATAATTTAACTATGATATTTACTAAAATATTAAATTTAATATATATCAGACACATAAATTCTATTCATTCAAGACACTAAAAAATAATGCAAAATAAAAGTAAGGAGATAATATAGAACATTAATTACATATGCAAACACAATATGCCAATCATTCAACCCCCTGTAATTATCCCATGCCGTAGACAATAATAATTCCTTATTGTGGTCACTTATTCTATAGATAATAACTCAGATCCACCATATAAAACAAATAAGTTTCAATACATTTTTATATTCAACTTCGATTCTTCAAATGTAATTATTCATTGGGCACCCTCTTCATAATTGTATCTACTTATTGACTCATTCTTTCAAATTTATGGTACAGTTCAAAAGCAACACTAGGAAAGTATTAGCATGGTGCCAAGAAATCTTCACCAGAACAAGACAATATACACTTTTCTATTCACTAAGCATTGTACACATGTTAGTTTTACTTATCTAGGTATCTTAGAGCAACAATCATTGAAGGAAGCTAGTTGACTGTTCTACATATCAAGGGTGATAAATAGTAAGGATGCAGTCATTATGAATTTTTTTTTTACAAAAAATATTCACAATGACTGGGTCCTGACTATTTATCACCCATTAGAGCAACAATGTTTTCTCTAACAAAAAAAAAAAGCAATAAAGTAAAATAAAACTTCCAATAAAATCAGTATAGCTTTCTCACCATTTTTATTGGGTTCAAAAGACACACTACAAGGTGCTACTATACAAATGTAGATCAGCTTTGAAGCTCAAGATCTCATGATCACAATAAACAAGCAATAATATGCTCCAGTTTCCTAGGTATATGCAAGCCTGAAATTTTATGCAGTAAAAACTCACACAATATGGTATATAATATGGAATAAAAAAACGTAAAGTATGTAGAAAAATATATAGTATAATACATAAAAATAGAATGTAAAAATTGTTAAAATACAATAAAAACGTAATTAATAATAATTTTTAAAAAATGTAGGATATTTTTTACTAAACAATAAATTGATATAAATTTACAACAAATAGTCAAAGTAAATTAATATTGTTTTTAACTAAAAAATTAAATGACTACAATGTATAAGGAATTAGTGTACAATCCAATATTTCAATTGTGAAGAAAATGATGCATTAAAAAAAAAAATATATTAACATTTGTAAAGAAAGTAATATATTGATATTGAGGGGGTGTTTATAAGATTAAAAGGAATGAAAAGCAAAGATAAAAGCCAAACTTTTTTTTTTTAATCCATATCCTAAGAGGTCAATAACTAAAGGTAGTGTTATTTTGTAGTTGTTTGTTGATTGAAAATGAACTTTCAACTGAATTATGGAATTTTATCTTAAATTTTACATATCACTTTATTATTTCCAATTATTATTAATATTAATGTAAAATGATCAAAATATGTAATTATATGAATTTATTATCAAATATACACTGTAAAATTTGACAAATGGCATCCATGTACACTGATTTGTATATTTGATCACTAGTTTGAAAATGGTTGCAAAAGAAATACGTAATTGCATAAAATCGGAGCTTGGTCATAATCAAGAATATGAATTAATGGTGGAAAAGTGGTTGGCGAACATTAGAGATATCACTGCAAACTTCAGAGTAATATTCAGCCACTTTTCTACTCCTTATATCTTCATTATCAAACAATTTCCCTTCGCTTATCAGGGTCAATCAGCAAGTAGAGTTTGCTCATTCTTCTTATTCCTTATTCATAAAACAGCTTATGTATATCTTACCCATATCTAATATCCATAGTTTTACATCATTATACACTTGACAATAAATACTTCAAAGCTGTTCGAGGGATTTAGAAGAGTTATTCGGACAAGCTTAAATAGGTTGTTCGCTATTTCTATGAATGTTTTAGTAAGATTAAGCCTGGAATGGATCTATATAGAATACCATTTTCTTTATAACTGGCAAGGGATGGAATATTCAATTGAGGTGTTGACAGTGAAAAGGTTGTAAGTGGTAAAAATGTGAAACAAATTTTTTTTCGTTAAAATGAAACTATGTTCGTCGCAAGTGACACTGAAAAGAGTAACTGCCAGTTAACATTAGTTTAGTTCTCTTTGATGGCAAAGATAGCGCTGGTTTTAACTTAAGGGGATTTTGCATTGATAAGGTAGTGATTTTGGCGTCCTCTGTAAAACTTGAATTTTGGCACTTACTACCTTTTCATTGTCAAGGTCTCAATTTAATTCATTGATCTAATAAGAAAAATCAATATGTGAGGCCATAGTTTTAAGTGTAGTAGACTTAACACGCTTAGTATGAAAAGCAGAACTCTTGTTTAATTTATTAATTTCACTCAGCTTAAAATAAGTGTTGTAAATGAAAGAACTTCAATTATTTTTAAATTTTCAGTCTTTTTAAATTTATTCATGTATTTACCAATTTAAAAATATTTTTCAATGCAGATGCTTCATATCAGATTGAAAGGAGTGACTTCTGAATTTGTTTAAAGGATTAAAAAGTGATTGATAAAAAAACCTGTAAGGCTAAATTATCTAGTAAGAATATACAGAAATAACTTTAATTTTATGTTTCGAAGAATGCTGTATTTAATCAAAATGAAGATAATTCGATCCTCAATGAGGCATCGGTCAGCAGTAAAATATTTCAATGCAGCTTAACAAAAATAAAAATAAACAAAGCAGAGGGATGTTACTGTCTTCCTGGACTTAAATTCTATATATTATTTTAAAAGTTGTTTTGAAAATTTCATATTTATTTATAGTTTAAATTTATTAGGAGGAGGAGAAATAAAATTAGTTAACATCTCAAATACTAATGAATGTATGTGAGAAGTCAGCGACAAGCAGCAATCTGTTACATAAATATATTTTTGTTTGCAGAAATATCCTCAACTTCTAGATACACAGGGTCATTTTCAAAAATATGTTTTTGTCTACACACTCAGATTCTGAAGGCATTCAAGATGCCAATTATGCCAGAATATGTTTTTGAATAATCACCCCATATACCAAAAATGCCATGACGAGGTTAAGTATTAAGTTATTTAAAAAGAAAAAAAAATGGATATATCATTTTGGCCATATACTTTTCTATAATCTTATAAAAACTATTCATGAATATTGAGATTCAGAGGGAAATAACTATTAATAGTATCAAACAAGGTTAATTGGGAGCTCCTCATATAAGCTAATATATTTCCAAGTTCAAGTGTTTTGTAAAAAGAAGTTAGAAGTTTAAGTATTGTATCAATAAACATAGAGGTGAATAAAAAATAATTATTAAAAATTATCTTTTATTTTTACAAAAGAATGAAACAGGTGTATCAACCAATATACATCAGTCTTGATTAAATAATATTATTACAATAGTGCGAACTTGATGCACAACTTATTAATACATTAAAAGAAACATGCTTTGAAAATAATTTTTGAGGATTATTAACATTTTATATGTTATTATAAAATTTTGCCAATCAAATAAATGGAAATATAAATAAATAAAATCAATTTTTTTTTCATGTTATAGTAAATAAAATGTATCTGCATAATGAAATTTTACTGTGATATGCATCATATGATTAATGAGCGAGTTGATAATAGGTTTATTTAAAAATTTTAATACAAAATGTTAATTAGACATTAATTAAAGGAATATACACATTTTGTGCTTAAAGACGTGACTAGAATAGGTTCTCATAAATAATCATTCCACATATGTTTTAAAAACAACTATCTATCTAACTAATTATATAAGTTTCTAATTGCTCAAATAAACATAATTCAATAATTTGACAAAATTTAAATAATTTTATGGACACTGAGTGTACTCCTTACAACACACTTGATTCAAAGACTTGATACATTTTTTTATAATTAATACTTATTGTATTGTGCAGCAGGAATATGATGTTGATGAATATCTAAGTCATTGAGAAACTTTGAAGTTAAGAGGGCCTACCACAGTAAACCTATCATACTTTTCAATAATCACAATAATTTTCTTCAGTTTCTTTGTTTAAAGCATCTGAGATTTTTCGCTTATTCTTTTTAGAATTTATGATAAATATTTCAACAATCCAAGTAATTAATACTGAAGTCATTAGTATGGTTTGGGAATGGATGAACATAGGATAACTATTAGTAACATCTCTTAAATAACCTGAAAAATAAAATAAACAAATGCAATTCTATCAATAAATCATTTTCTGTAGTTTGTATTTCTAATTACTAACACTGGAAGAACTAATAGGTATAAATGAAAATAACAGATTAATGTTTAGAGAATAAATTCATTAACTAATTTCAATTATTAAATATTATTTGCTTATTGTAGTCATTTAGAAAAACTGATCAAAATCTCGGAAGTAATTAAATATAAATTTTTTGTACCAGCCATGGATTATAGGACGGTCGTTTTGAAATCAAACAGTTTGATAAGTGATGATGTTCAAATTCAAAACTCATCGAAAATAATTTGTTTTTGAAAATTCATATTTAAAAAAAGAAAGGTGTTCAAGATTTAAATTTCATCAATAAGTAGTACAGTGATAGAACTACATTTGAAAAAAAAAAAAGACTATAAGTTGAGACTCTTTTCATTATTACACTTTTGGAGTGCTTAAAGTTTTGTTTTGCTTTAATTTTAATTTTATAGTTGTAAATTTTTTAAATAACTTTCTTCACTCTGTAGGAAATGTATTGTGAGCACAAAATATTTAGAGCAATACTACATCATAATTTTAGTATTTGTTTTGTTTTGATATCTTCAAAAATGCATGAGTTAGAGGAGGAAGGATATGCTGATTGAGATTCTCACTAAGCAGCAATGTTTGCTACGCTATATTTAATCTTTCAGATTCAGCTCAGGGATCAAATTCATATCACATGCTTCTACAATTAAAACGTATAAACTGTACCAATTTCATAATTATTTTTTTTGTGATATTCAACATGAAAATCACTGAAAACAACTTTTGACTGTTTTTTGAAAATTCATATTAAAAAAATGACAAGGTTTAATATAAGTTAAAATTAATAAACCAATTAAATGTTTGTGAATCAAATAAAAGGTGAATTAAACTGTAAATAGAAAAAGAAGATAAAGCACAAATTTTATGGAGATACTCACCAAACAGAGGTCCTAAGAGTGAAACGGAAATCCCTCTGAAAACCATTGAAAGACCAAGAACAGAAGGAAAGTTATTCCCAGTTGAATATTCTGTCAAAACTAGTGGAAATGAGGTACGAGCTATTCCACGGAAGAAACCAACAATCACTAATGTAACAATGATTGGTAAAATAGTGGTCTGTAAAGTTAAACCTTGAAAAAAAAAGATTCTGAACAATTAACTACTTAATAAACTGCAACAGATACATTTCCATAGGCTAAAGATATAATAAGTATAAATAAATTTTTAAAACTTAAATTTATAACAAATAATAAAACAAACATTATAATATGTTTCTCCTAAAGAAATTCCTTACCATAGTTAAACAACACATTTTTCACATTATAACATTATATTTTGAGTCTTACTAGCCAAGAGATTAAGAGACCTTACAAGAGATTTTTTTTAAAGTTGGGGAACTCAATACTTTGGGTACATCAAATTACCTCATAGGTTTTCAAAAACTATTCGTCTCTTTCGACTATTAAAAAAAAAGTCGACTCATCATAATTTTCACTAATATTTATTTCAGGGTGGTAATAAGAAACTAATTTAACATACATCCAGATTAGAACAGGAGGCAAACTGTTTTTCATCCATTTATACTATATTTCATAATTTAGGACTTCAGCTACCTAAATGTCAATCCTTCTCAAACAGGTTTTATTATTAGTAGATAGAGCATATTATTTAATATTCAACAAACATGTACAAGCTGCCTTAACAGTTAATACATTATTTATTTTTTACTTTAAACTTTAAAATGAATTATTTACTTATAATAAAACTTCAGAACAATTGAATGTCATACTTTTTATATTTCCATTTAACATCAATAATTTGGTATATTAACTTTTATAAAGGAAATGCCTGTATACAAAACAGGCTTATTATACTAATAATTATTTTTTATCTAATAACAATTTTTCATTAATAAATTTTACTTTTTTCAGGATTGATATATTAAGTATCTTATATTGGTATATTAAGATAAGATAATATATAAATGAAAGAATGACAAATAAAAGTAATTTAAAACTGTGAAAAAGAGACTAAAAAATTAACGTTGGTACAATTTCTCAGATTGGTGGTAGTTTTTACTTTAAAAACATACAAATAGAAAATATTTAATTTAAAAGAAAACTTTAAGAAGCTACTTATATTATTAGAAGTATAAATCATACTGAGAATTTTAGTCGAAAAATGTAAACCATCAATAATTAGAAAGAATAAGTATATAAAAGAAAGTTTAATATGTTGATTTTTTCTGTTGGCCCAGTAGACCATATAGACTTTTTGCCAAAGAAACAATTACTATCGTATATTGCTTGCGGAAGTACAGATAGCCTGGAGGTCACCCAATTTCACGTTGTTACTGACTATGGTATCCATGGCACAGCAGAAGGCAACCTGTAGCTCCATATTCGATCCCTTTATGACCAATTTGCCATTGTCCTGCCTAAAGACTAACTTGGATTGCGACAACTAATTCGTAAATTCAGGAACACTGACAAATTTGTATAGGTCCATGGATTGTGGCTGCTCAGAATCAGCAGGCGCTATTCTACATTTCTTTTGCTGAAACAGACCATCCATGGACCAAACCTCAAGGGGGCTACTGACATCCTGGAAAATCAGATTCCGATTCCCAATTTATGTAAACGGGGTAGAGTCATCAGTACTACACCCGGCCAGTGTGATTTGCCTCCAGTAGTTTGGCAAAGCTCACATATCAGGAGGGGGGGAGAGGGGAAGGAATCTCAAGCAGCATGTCTTTCCTAGTGGACATTGGACAGATATCCTATCAACAAAGACTCTGCTTTATAGAATTAATTTCAATTTTAACAGTATTAGAACTAATCTTAATTTAAATATTATGTATGAATAAAATAAATTAGTGACTATATTGATAAAATGTAGGTTATACATTCAATATTTATAGAGACATAACTAATGAAAATTTGCATGTAAGATTTTAATAATAATAAATTTTTACTAGACAAAAGCAGTTAAAACATAATAGGGCTGATATATATAATTTAATATTTCTCCTTGAGAAATAATGACCTGTTGGCCGAAATTTTGTAGCTAAATGAAAATATAAAAGTTAAGAAGTACGATCGTTTTGAAGGTTTATTATAAAAAAAAAAAAAAAGTCTTAAATATAAATTAATGAATTATTTAATACTTACAAGAACGGCCCAAGACTACACAAATAGAGCCAAATAAAAAAGTGGTCCGCCTAGAGTATGCTATCCTATCCATGATTGGAGGTACAGTTATTCGAGCACAAATGTCTGAGACAGCCATTGATGACAATGCATATGCTATTTCAGAAGGTTTGAATCCAAGGTTCGATAAATAGAAAGGCAAAATCAATTTAAAATTCAATTCAACCACGTCTAACATTGACAACCCATAAAGGATGTTCAAGTACACCTATCAAAAACACAAAATAAAATTTTAGTACAATTAATAATATGATAATACAATGAAGGTATAACAATTTAATAAACAGTGTAAAACTTACACCATCTTTCAGCAGATGAAGGTCCATGAATTTAGTAAGCCTTAATAAATTACTTTTTATCGATTTTGTAATATTATTGTTGGGTGTGATTCCTATGTTATTTTTTATCTGTGTTTCTTCCTTGCATGAACCTACAGTTGCTTTTTCTGATTGTTTGTCTGACTCTTTTATTCCTTCCCCTGAGATTCCCTGGTAATATAAGTTAGGTTTTCAAATTAGTAATTAAAAGTAAACTATAATAAGAAAATTTCCGTAAATATTGTAATATAATTTATTATGAATCTTTTATGGTTGAATGAGTACAAACTTGAATGTGAAATGGATTTCCTGTCCCATCTAAGAGAGAAACATTGGAAATTAATGATTCTTTTCTCGAAGAAGCTTTTGATGGATCATCATACAAAATCTTACTTCCCTTTAAATTTGGAATGTACACATTGCCTTTTATATCATCTGAAAATGATAAGTTAAATAAGGTTAAACAAATTTAGTGCCGCTTCTATATGTCTCTGTTAATTCGTATGTCTATCTGTAAATTCATGACGGGCCAAGCATCAACTATCAAATTAATTAAATTATCAGAATTGAGGTTTCATATCAATTTTATTGAATTCCATCTACTACTTTAGCTCACCCATATCCAAACTTTTTTTGTTAATTTGCATGTTTATATAATTTTCCTTTCACATTAGGGAATATATTTTCTTTGACAGGCCAATGTTTTGAAAATGCTTAATTTTGTAGATTTAATTCTCAAATGACAAATCAGTAATTTTAAAATATAGATAATTATGTCGTAACTAAATTGAATTGGTGCGGAAACTATTCTGATCCTACTTGCCAGATATTTTTTTTATAACTGTAAATATTGAATGAAAATAGATAATAAAATGAAATAGTGATGAAATAAATAATCAAAACTGTTTTGGCCTCATTCTATAGTATTAATTAAGACCTATGAATCTAATACCAATTTTTTTTATCAAATTCAAATACGAACCTTCAGAATTATACTTTTTCTCAATTTGAACGTGTGTCAAGCTCTGAGCTTCTTCTTCTAATTCCTATTAAAAAGAAAAATGTTTTTAAAAGCTGAGAAATCTACAAAGAGTTAAAATAATGAATAAAATTATTAAATGAGTAAATACATTAATGTTATAATTTCACAAATAATCATACTATATTAAAGAGTCAGATAAAATCTTTTTTTTAGTTAGTTTTGTGACAAAATCTTGAAAATTGAAGAAAATATTACTTGTTTTCAATTAATAATTACAAACAAAATATATTGCACATTTCATTTGACCTAATGTTTTTTTTATATTGACTCAAACAAATGATTCAAGCTGAGATTTTATGGAATGACTTCACAAGCCAGAAAAAATGCCGTCTTGAATTTTTTTTTTTAAATCTTCTTTTTGTACTGTCTGTATCTTATATTCGACATCAGACAAGAGCTGTGGTATTCTATTCAAGATATGTTTATTGTTTACTTCATAATTAAATTTAGATCCTAAGGCTAAAATATTCTGTATGTTTTTTTCTGTAAGGTTTAGGAACGCAGTGGTTGGTACCTCTGGCAGTGGATCAGCTACTGTTCTTTTATTTATTTTCGCAAACTTCTTTATTAATTTGAACTTCTTTTCACTGTGTTGTCTTTTGTAGAGCTTCTCTTGGTCAATTTATAATACATTTCTCGATCCATTTTGTCAGAAAGTTCTACCAGAATGTTATCTATTTTGTATCCAATACATGCTATGGTTGAACAAATTTCTTTTATTTCCAAATTCAAAATTGAGCTCTGTGTTCTGATGGTTTTATGAACTTCAAACTTTTAGGAATAAGGTGATAAATATTCTTAGTGCTATCTACGATGTGTGGTGGAAACAGATTATATTTTCTACATTTTAAAAGAAATACCCTTTGTGGTTCTAAATGCGAAAGCTTTTTAAGAAGCAATTTTGAATATATTTTTTACATTTTTGGCGATATCACTTCTATATCACTGTTTGATATCTTGAAAGATGCCCATGTCTTTATATCAATAAAAACAAGAAAACCAAAATTGTAACCACTAACAAGTCAGTAGTAATTCCAATAAATACAATTAATTTCCCAATTATATAATATTACAATGTTCTTTTATAATTCGACCTTTATATATTATAACTTAAGATATGAATTATAGATAATTTCATGACCTATTATCTGACTGTAATTCATATCTTAAGTTATAATATATGAAGGTCGAATTATAAAAATGCCTTGTAATATTATATATATATTTTTTTTTTTTTAATTAATGCTCATTTAGGTATAATAGGAACTTATTTTCTATTTATTGCTTATCTTCCTATTCAATATTTATTATTTTTTAGCTAAGCAGCGATTATTTTGTTTCACGTTTTATTTGATTTATGTTTAGTTAGTTATTGGTATTTTGTATATATTTTCTTTAGTTTGGTTTTGTATATTTTGTTAGTTTCATAAAGTTTTTTTTTAAATTTATTTAATTTAGTTCTTCTGGCCAGACGTATTTCTTTTGGTCTCTAATCTTTTGTTATTCTTAGGGGAGTTTGTCCCAAAATAAAGTTATTTTCTGATTTCTATTTCCCTTTATATATTTTCTACATACATATACACAAACACACACACACACACACACACACACACACACACACACACACACACATATATATATATATATATATATACCTAGTTCTGCCATAAATACAAAACTTGAATTTTGTTTACATCCTGGGGTATTATTTAGATAATCCTTAGCTCTATCAAGTTATTTTCTTTACATGTCAGGAAAATAATCCCAAGTAGTTTGTATTTTTCTTTCGCTCAGTTAACATGGAGTGGGGTGATAAGGAAAACCGAATATCTGTGATTGCCTCACACAAAGTTGGAAATTGTAGATCAGAGAAGGTCAGAGTGTTAAAAAACTCTGAAACCTTTGGGTATCATCCGTATGATCATGCAATGCACTATAAATAGATATAATGAGACACAATCTGTATGTGAAAGACCTCAATCAGGCCGATCCCCAATCTGTGAGAACAGCAAATGCAATGAGAGCAGTGGCTGCACGAATCAGAAGAAATCCCATTCGAAAACAACAAACCATGTCTCGGCAAATGGAAATCTCTGTCAGATCAATGTCTCGCATAGTAAAAAGTGACTTTAGCCGTTACACCAATGGTCTCCATTAAAAGATTTTGTTTAGCAATGAGAAAATTTTTACGATTGAAGAAAAATTTAATTGCTAAAATGATCGTGTGTAAGTAAAATTTTGACATCTATCCACGAAATTAATAATTCTTATCAGAAATAATATAAAAACAGCACAAATCAAACCTCCATAAAAAATTACAATTTTTTTTTTATCAGCTCAAGAGAGGCCTGAAGCTGCCCTTGGCCCTCTCAACTGCCTTTTCCCAGTCAAAATGGTCAATAGCAGGCCTGTTGGACACTCCGACCATCTTCAAATCCACAGCCACCGGTCTTTTCACCTTCCCATTGGTCTTCTGAGCAGTCTAACACCATCCGTGGTTTTGTAATATAATTGCCTGGCTGCTCTTCTAGTATCCATCCTCTATCATACATCCCAGACATTAGAAGAACTGAATTCTCAGGAAATGGGAAGCTCGGAGAGCGTCGAATAAGTCGTAGATCTCTTTGTTCTTTTTCAAGCAGTATGAACCAAAAAAATTACAGCTGTGAGTATGAAATAAAACGTTTGGAGAGAATTTTTTTTTCTTTATTTATTACTTTTAAAGACCTAAATTCTGAAAGTTATTGATATGATTTAGAAGAGCAATAATCCTGCTTATCAATGGTTGTAGTTAAGCTGATTTAGGAGAAAATCCTGAGGAGTTATGAATGCTTTAATAAATAGGATCCAGGTAGAGCAAAGGCAGACAACAATAATATTAAAAAAATGTTAGTATTTTATAAAATATTTTGTTCTAGATTTTTTAGAGCTTATTGACAATAACCTTTGGATGCCGGTCTAATGATTTTTGACCTAGCATTACCAAAAAAGTTTTTTTAGATCTGCATCCATAAACTCCCTTTGTTAGATAATTGAGAAAATCTTTCACAGGAAAAAGGTATGGAATTCTTTCATTATTCCTACATTTCTATCATGAAAAGTAATAAACTATATTTAATTTAAATACAACTATTGTTACTTGTTGGACGAAATTAAATGATCACTATTTAAAATTCCGGTACATAGGATTTCAAAAAAAGCATTGCACATTATAAAAAATGAACGGATGCCATATGAGTTATATTTATATATCCTGAAGTCAAGATTTGGAGTGAGTAACCATTTATCATGTTATTATTATTTAGTTTCATTTTCAATCAAAAAATATAATAAGACAAAGCTTTTTTTTATGTTATTTTACTTTGTTTTAAGATCTAACCGTGATTTTAAAAATAATTCAGAAACCTGATATTAGATGAAAACTTACTACAATCTCAGCTTTCATGTGCCAAGAAACAGGTTGAAATAAGCAAGCTCCCACCAAACCATGAAGAGATAGTGCCCCTAATATGAGCAGTGCTGAACGAAAATCATATTCATCGAGCAATAATCTAAAAATAACAGATAAATAATTAATTATAAAGTTAATACACTATGTTAATATATGCAATGAGCTCGTTATTTTTTAATTTATAATATTTCTGTTTTATATTAAAAATGTAGGTTTATTAAATCAGAATGGTAAATATTTACCTGACCATCTGAGGCATCAACATAAAACCAACAGCAGTGCCAGCCATCGAAAGACCAACTGCTTGTCCTTTCTTTTTCGAGAAATAACTATTGATACCTACCAATGTGCAAGTATTAGCAAGGCCGAATCCAATACCTAGAACAGTTCAAATGCATAATCTTATTATCATAATACTCTTTCTGGGCTAGTCAGCAGTGGTACTGTGCGTCGGGAAAGGTGAAATTGAAACTTTTATTTTCTTTTAACTATAATATAATGGTGCAAGCATTTAAGTAGTAATAACATGGACGGCATCACGAGAACTTATGGGCATCCTAAAAATCTTGAAATTCAAATAATCAATATCGTTCAGTTTTAATATTCTCTAGTTAATGTTTATGTTGAGTAGAGATGTTCGTCCTTAGAACACTTTCATTGTTTAATGTACTCTCATCAATCTCATCATGACTGGTGAATAAATTGCGAAAGTGTTGGATGGTGCCTTTAAATTCTTTCTAAAAGCAATATTTTATTTTATTTTATTAAACCTTAAGGATATAAATTAGGGGAACCTTTTTTTCATCAGAGGCCGAAGTAAGCAATGTTACTATCTTTATTTATCACTAAATATACACACCCGCATACATATATATATATATACACACACACCCAAATATATACATATATTCAAATCAATTTTCAAAATGTCGTTACTTCAATAATTCAATATTAATTAATTCTAGCAGTTGATCAATGAATATAGCACTAAAACTTGTGGAAGTCACAACCACCTCACAGAGACCACATGCGGCCTCCGTGTGGTTCCCCTCCTATGCTTTAGGTAAGATACGATGTTTCTAAATTGTATCCAGCTGAAGCACATTAATTAATATGTAGATTCATTTGGTTTATATGGTTTTATTTACTGAAGGTAATGAACATTAGTTCATAAATACATTTTTATTATAAATACCTCCAAGTACTCCAAAGGTAATTATCATGTGTGGCATACTGTTTGCTGGAACCGTCAATAGGATAGCAGCAGAACTTATCGCCGAACCTAAAATAGCTATTTTCCTGTATGTATACTTTTTTATTAATGGTCCGACAAAGAGACCTGAAAGAGAAATGAAAAAAAATTTTACAATGATTCATTTATTAACATATGATAGTAGATAAAGTGTGTGTTTAAGACCACATGAAAGATCTGAAAACATCAACAAGGCAAGATTAATAATATAAAATATAAATTATAAATAATAGATCATTGAAAAGAGGATGAAATGCTGAATATTTTCCTCGCATATAGTATGTAGGTCCATTTTTAATTTCTGAAATATTTTAATCCATGTCTTCAATAAAACTCGTAATAATTTGATTTTTGACACTATTTTTTTCCTTTTTGTCTCTCTAACACAGTCATGTTAATACACAATCCATTATTCTCTTGTATTATTATTTTTTTAATGTCAATGTACTAGCTACAATAATAGTATTACTCCAATTTCTTTGGATTGACTGATATTGAAAAGTACTGGTGAGGGCAGCTTTGGACATGAAAAATTAAGATTGCATCAAAAAGCAGTTATGTTAAATATCTGAATAATTGTTAGAAAATACACATATTTCTAATATATTGTTTAGATGAGTAAAACCTTCTGCATTAGCTTGGTTGATTTTTCTTTTCAGAATTCCGGAGTAACATTAACGTTCCAGAAAATCAACCAAGCTAATATAGAAGATTTAATTATCTAAAAAATATATTAGAAATATGTGTATTTTCTGACAATTCTGCAGATATCGAACAGAACTACTTTTTGATGTTGATTAGATGAACTACTTCTTCATTTTTCATGGCCAAGGATGCCCTCTCTATTACTTTTCAGTATCAGTCACTCCAAAGAAATTGGGGTAACATTTGCTCTTAATCCATGGAGTAAAGTTTCATTAACTCCATGGAAAATTGTTAGCATTTTCTATAATTCTCGTCCCAAATAATCAATAAGTTAGAATCATTGGAAACTTCAGCATACTGATTAAAATCAAGAGGGAATGGTAATGGATAAAACATGTTTTTAGGGTTAAATTAGTTTTCTTAATTTAGTTAAAATAACTTAAATTCTCGTTTATGTAATTTTAATATTTCATTTACTCATTTTAGGAACTCTCCAAATAACAGAAATTTAAAAAAATAATGCTTTGTTTTTGTTATTAATGCCCTCATTGTTGCCGATCGCATCTTGGGTGGTTCTCCCGAAATTGTTAATTTTCTCTGACAGAAACATTGAAAGTAGAAAGCAGTTAATTCAGCCATTAGCATTGAAAAAACATGTCAAAGGAAGATTAATATTGTGTGAAACATTAAAATAATGGCGAATTAATGCGATGAGTCTTTTTTAATGGATTTTTAATAACCTGAAAATTAACAATAGGGTGTCAACAAGAGAAATCTTAAAAAGTTTTCATTTATGAATCAAAATTAGTATTCCTATTTTTCCGAAAGTAGACATCAGTGGATTTATTAAAATCTTTAGTATAATATCAAGGATAATGTACTTAGAAAGCATTGAAAAGTAAAATAGTTTGAAAAATAATTAATTTAACAATACAAATTACTAGTATCAATTTCACATATTCCATTATAATGTTATTAAAATTTAAATGTTCTAATATAATTAAAATGTTCTAGAAAATTTAAATGTTCACTATTCCGTCTCAAAAAATTTTTCATCCTTACAAAGACCTACTAATTCCATTAAAAAAAAAAAGGCGTTTTTTCGAAATCTTTACTCCTAAATACAATCAATGAGACATTAGAGCTAAACTTCATCCTCAGAAGATATTTTTTTAAATAAAACATATTAAATTAAGGTGACAATCTCTGTCCAGAAAGATAGATTCCTAGATAGATTTCTTCATCTATTCTATTGGATATATATGAAAAAAACAAAACAGGAAAGAACAAATAAAAAAAAATTGTTCAAACAGTTAAATAAAATTTAACAGTACAACTTTTAATAATATGAACAATTTTTTTAATAGGAATTAGGTGATATAGATATCTACTGGACCATATATACACTTGACCCCAATTAAGAAAAAATTGGATAAGTCCTTTTCGAAAAAAACATTACAAGAAAAATACGTTTTCGCATGCTTAATGCATATTGCAAAATATTTTATGAAATTCGATATGAAATATGAAATTTTATTTTCGAACTTTTACTTGTCTTGACACTTGAAATTTCAAATTTTAAGATACGTTTTATTTATTTATTTTTTTGTGTTTATCGATTACAAAAGTTCATTATTTAAGATAAACTAAATTCTTATACGCGAAAATTTATCACAAAAATATCGATGCTAAAATGACAGTTGTTATCGAGAACATCTCAACTAAATTCAATTTCCATTCTCCTTTTTACTTTACATGACATTTTGGACAACCTTTTTCCAATATAAAATATTTTTATATATTCAATACTAATTTAATTATGTACATATTTGAATGTTCTATATTTCTAGATCGGCTTAGTCAGCCATACATGTGCACTTTAACAATAAGCAAAATTTTTAACATTTGACAGATAGAGTGGAATTATTCTCAGTGTCGACCTTAAAGATTTGGTTCTCCGGCAATGACCACTCCCAAAAAATTAAGTTTATTTCTTTAGCTGTTTTCTTTTAAATAATATTTGAATTGGGCTTCATAATTGTTTATAAATAGTTGCCTTATTAATAGGCTATATTTAATTATTGCAACACATTTTGTATTTTTTTTTTAAATTCCTATCAAGCGGCGGACGCCCTCTCCAAATTGGCATACCTGGCATATTCTCATACAAAATACACCTAATTTACCTGCAATTAACTTTAATATTTTCGACATTCTATACCTGAAACGTAAAAACCAGCTCATAAAATACACAACTTCAAATAATTTTAGCCACTCTAAGAATGGAAGACTTCTGGCAATCCTAAAACTTTTATTAAAGAGTTAATTAATATTCACATAACTAATTATTCAATCAAATTTCTTAATTTTTTCGCATAACTGAAGATGAATTTATCAGTTTAGCCGCTCAGAAAGAGGTCGGGATTGCCGAGTAAGCTAACGTGTTTGCAGAATATGCGTTTCCTAACAACCTGATAACATGAAGATTACAAGTTCAAGTCTCGGTTCCGGGGGCATTAATCACCCGTTCCCTCCCCTGGTCTGTGAACAAGCTCGTATTGTCAAAAGATGAAGTAAGGGAGAAAAGAAGAAGCAAAGTTTAGCTGCTTATAAAAGTTTTGTTTTAAAAACGGACCTAAATTAATTTTTTTTTTTTTTTGGGACGTTACTTCCTATTCAACGTTAAAAGTGGTATAGTTAAAAATACAGAAAACGTAAATTTCTGCAAATCTGAGCATAGTTTATAATATGCTTTCTGTAGTTAAGCATGGTTAATTTTAGTACCTCTTGAGATATATTGTCATCTCTTTAAATTTGTCCTATTACTTTTTTAGCATAACATATGTACATAAATTTCGAGCTGCAGACCGTTGTGCAAGAACGATTCAAATGTCTGGTCTTTTAACAACAAATTATAAATGTAGATATTTGTTGTGATGCACTATTTTTAGAGATTTGGAATTGACGAGCCCTTCTACATCGGACAGTCGTGGTTATTCTTGAGGAAGTCTACCTGCTCGTGTTGCCAATAGCACAACAAAAATACTACATACCATGAAGGTTCTTGGGTTCAGTATTTAGTGAAGAAGTATTATTTCAAGACCAACGGTTTTGAAGGATGAAGAACAGGCAGGGATCACACTCTACAGCCAGGTTTCGCCCCCTTAATTGATTATTTAATTAATAGTACTCACTTTATAGAAACTAGGTGTTCCCCAGGAATGTCTACCGACCGATGTCTTGAGCGTAGGGAGTCATTGCCTACCCACTGAGCTACCCAGTTCACAATTCCACTGTCAAAAGCTACTAAAACGTTTTCTTTACCTAGTCTGGATGGGGAGCTTAAAATATGGCTATCGAATACTTAGGTACTAATACTACGAGTACCTGAAAAATTGAAAATTCCGTCCAGTGTAGATATTACCAAAGAAGCACCCGTTGTCTCTACTCTAAGCTGACTGAGGAGATCCTTGAAAAGCAGTCCAAATGATGGTTCAATGGCAATTGTTGTTACCTAAAAAAAATAAAAAAATAAAAAAAATGTAAACCAATATTTGCATAAATAAAAACATCTAAGTATAACATCTAAATATACTAAGTGAACTATTCAGCATTAGTAATCTACGAGGCCTAAATTATCAAGAAAAATAAATCAAGATGTTGGCTGTTATTCACTTAAGCAAACTAAATAGATTTTATTCTAAAAGTTATTTGGTTATTTCCATCTTTGGTCTTAGGAATATTTATAAAGAAATTTCCAATCGGTAACTGAATTGTGATTAATAATCTCCAATATGTTACTCACGTTCATAATACTCGATCCTAAAACAATAAGCCACCCCCATCCACCATCTGGGGGTACCATCTTTGCGTGCCCTTTTTTTGTCATTTTCACCTGAAACGGACATTAAATAATTAATTTAAAATAACTCAAAACGTCATCATATCTTAAATAACTTACGGACACTATATTCGTCGCTATAATGGGGTTGTTGTGCGCTATGAGATCAAAAATAATATAATTATTGTTTTATTTGTTCATCTGTTTTTCAAGAAGAATGAATAAATAATTTATTCAAAAATTTGCATTGGTAAAGAAAACATTATCTTTATATTTTAATGTTATATAAGCATAAAATATTATATATTCTATGTTTGTAATTAAATTTTGCCCGTGCGTTTAATGAAATATATTATTACCACCAGTTTATTGGTCACATTTAATATTGTCTCAATAGAAAATTGATGGATCAATATTAGCCATAGCTAACATACACATTAATATTTATATTATGATGAATTGCTCAGGGAAGAAGTGGCTTCCTACTTCCATAGCCATTGAAGCAAATTTAAAGGTATGATTTTTTTTTTTTTTTTTTCTATATTATTATTTACTTCAATCGAAAAATTAAAAAACAATATATATGTATTTTAAATTCAAACCGACATATATTTTTGGATGGATGACTATCCCAATATAACGTTTTTTTTTAATAAAAATTCCTTAGGGGTGCTTTCCACTTTATTTGTGGGTAGTGATTTTTTTTTTCGTGAATGAGAGGCGTAACGCTCGGATAGGTAACGCTAATTCGGATAAAGCCGTTCGGAGTCGACTAATTGAAGTGCTGTTGCATTTAGATTAATATATCTAAGAAACTAAAAATTGGACCAGTATACTGTAAGCGAGGAAAATTTTCAGCATTTCATCCTCTTTGTAATGAGCTATTATTCAAAAGGTTACGCCGATTTAGAGAGCCGGAAAGAGAAAAAAGATAGTGCCCCTCGAAAAAAAATAATAACGAGTGTTTTAAACATTTGGACTAAAATCTCCAAATTTAAATACCATAGAAAATTCTGAAACCAATTTGCAGAAGTAAGTATAACTTTTTTTTTTACTTAGCAAGAAAAATAATAAATTGAATATTCTTGTTGACTGTCTGTGTTTCGACAGTGGTTATTAAAATTGCAAATGCTATAATGCAATGTCTTATTGTAAATATTGTTAATTTTTTAACATTGAACAAAAAAAAAATTTAATATTTTAATATTTAATATTCGTGAAGGCGTCGTAGATGTCAAAAACGCGCTCTTATTATAATTTTTTTTTTTTATATGGCTCTTAAACGCAAATATCTGTTAAAGCTTCACATCGGAAATTTGATGCAATTACTGCACTTCCATTACCTAGTAGGATTAGCTTAGTAAAAATGATCAAATCCAAAAGATGCAGCAGTGTGACGACAAATTGTGAAAAGTAAAAGGAAGCATCGAGCCAAGTTCGTTAAAGAAATCCATTTGAAGATATGATATGATCCTTTTGATCATAAAAAGAGTTTAATTTAAAAGTTCCGATGCTTATAACCCTTACATAACAAGCCTACCATCTTACTAAATGGCATAAAGTAACTTATCAAGAAACAAAAAAAATTATATTATTGATTTTCTATCTCAAGTAATCTTACTGAATTATTGGATTCCATTAAGTTCCTAATTTGTGGTGTAACACCCTGAAGCTGCCTGCCGTAGATTATATTGTCCAGAGACTGCTATTCTAAATCATCTTGGGATGACAGTCTCAGATTTTAATGAAAGTAATTTATTTTCTCGAGTTATTACAGTCTCTACGTTCGGGCGCCAATTAATTTTTATAACAACATGCTCGAACTAAATATTATTAAAAATAGTTATAATAAACAGATACAATGAATTGAACTACGAATAATGAACTAAATACTACGATGGCAAAGGGATTACATCTAACTAATTAAAACTGACTTTTCGCTGGATAAGGAAAAGAGGAGTATTTACACAATCAGGAGAAAAATGATGATGCCAGTGATTCTGCTCTGTTTAGTTTCCATAAATGTCGAAGAATCTTTCTTCTGCATACTAAATTATCTTTGTCTTAGTTTTTTCCAGTGGTGCATAGTTTAATGAATAACATAAAGGATTAAAGTTTGATATTAATAAATTATCCAACAAAATTATATAAAAAAAACAAACTAAAAACTCGTACGATAGTTTATTATCCAAAAAAGAGCTGAATTAGGTTCATTACTTCTCAATTAATTGTTTCATATGGTTCGTCAGATTTTCAATGACTAGTTGTATGATAAGTAATTGTTTTATAACAACATTTAAAATAACTCTGGTCCTCCTTTACTTATCTTTTAATAACAAAATATTCATCAAAAGCCTACTTCAGATAAACAATGAGCTTATTTTAAATTTATTTATTTGTTTTACTATAATTGAGGTTATAGAATTTTCTGGCGGGGATATCTAATATAATTTATAATATATGCATAGCAATGCAGTTTTGCGCATGCATCTGCCTTTACTTATACTTAAGTTATACTATTACTTTATAATGCGAAAAAGAAAACTTGTTTGCAAAAAGTTACATTCATAAGAGAATCTTAAGGAAGTCGTACCATAATAGCATTAAAACTTGATTAATCATTTTTATTAAATAATTGATGTTTTGGGGAAATGTTCACTTGTCAAAAGCATCTCAATTTTGAAGTGTAATACATAACGTCAAACAAATCAACAAGAACACAATATAGAGTGTCCCGTTGTTTGAGGCAAATTTTGATTGGTGTAATAGCAGATCTCCAGACCAACAAAAAAGCTCATATGAACAATGGGTCGGAATTTCACAGAAAAGTAGGAATTCCAAGTTTAGTGATGTTTAAGAGAATCGTGTTTTTTGTTGAATAGGAACCGATAAATGGTGAAATATTTTATTTAAGTAATTAACAATTACTTCACTGTAAACTAGACAAAATTTACTTTAATTGAAACGTGAGTTTGTCATTATTAAAACAATTTAAAGAGGATTTTTGAGAGTCTAAACTAAACTAAGTTCTGTTTAAAAAAAACACATAAATATTCCCGATTATTTTTTATCATCATCCAACTATATTACAGTTACCCCACTTTTGTTTTCAAGTTAAGAAATTATATGATTTTCTATCCAGTCCCTTGACAGAGAGATATCCAGTCCCCTAAAATTACCCGTGTTTTCAGCAAAAATGACTACAATTAACTCTTGCAAAGCTTTTAATTCTTGTTATACCATGATCTGAGATGTATTGTAATAAAAATAATTGCCTAAATACACATTTTATTTATTAAAATAAAAAATTACAATATTTTAAATATTTTTTATGTAAAGTGGTTATGTAATTGTGTTTTTCTCCCAGATTTCTCTCATATGAATTTATCCGCATTTATCAATGACAAACTTAATTTTTCTATTCCTGAAATTGACGTTAAATAAATGTTAAATGTTAAAATAAAGAAACCTACTGATTGCTTCAATTATTTTAATGAAAACGTAAATATTAGGGCTAGAAACATTAAGCTTGTCACTTATAAATATGGATCAAATCCTATGACAGAGATCTGGAAGAAACACAATTTCATAATCACCTTACACGAAAAATATTTTAAAATCGTTATTTTCAATTTCATTTTTTTATAAATAAAGTATATATTTAGGCAATTATTTTATTACAGTTGATCCCAGGTTATGTAAAAACAAGAAATAAAAGCTTTCGAACAGTTTATTATAGTCATTTTTGCTAAAAACAAGGGTACTTTTAGGAGGTAAATATACAACATTTACTTATACAACTTGATGTTAATCTCAATTTTTCCCCTTATAATCCTCAATTTAATTAATATGAACTCAAAACTTATTAAACGAGATATTTTTTTTCTAAAAGTAAAACAACTGTAATATAGTTGGATGATGATAAAAAAAAATCGCTAATAATTCATGATTTTTTTCAAACAGAAATTAGCTTAGTTTGGTAACTCAAATGTCCTCTTTAAATGGTTATAATATTGGCAAACTCTCTTTTCAACTAAAGTAAATTTTGTCTAGTTTACAGTGAAGTAATTATTAATTACTCAAATTAAATATTTTTTTGGTTACGGGACACCTTAAACACTATACAGGGTGTTTCAGGCTAAACTGCAAAAATGAACAAATGAATTAATACATATGTCATCGTTGCAATCTAATGTTCGAGTGCTTTTTTTATATAAATTGTCGGTTTTTTTGTATACCAGTGTCTCTCACTACGTTGTCTACAGCTAAATTAAAGAAAGTGCATGCTTCAGTGTCTTCTTGTCTCTATCCTTGTTAGCCTTTGAATTTATTTGTCAAATCTTGCACTCTTTCGTGGCAGCATCCTTACTAATCGCCCTGAACAATCTGGCTATCGAATTACCTCGCGTGCGAGTCTGCATTCTCTCCTGTAAAAGTTCTGACGTTAAGGAGATTACTTTTATTACAATTGGTTTCATCATGCAGGTATGGGATCCTATTACCGGGTGAAGTGATCGCTGTTTGCCAATTTGCACATTGAAGTCACGAAGAAATAATTTTATATCATTTCGGAGACACTTATTTTCATATTTTTCTAGTTCGTCATAAAAATAATCCTTTTCACTATCTTCAGCGCCTTATGTCGGTGCATATACACTACTATAATTGAAAAGCTTTTTTCTTAGTCGAATATAACATATTCTGGGCCCTCCTGGTTTTAAATCAATTATCTGCTGCTTTATTCGTTTGCCCATGATTATACCATTCTCTAGAGCGTGTTATATTTCATAGCAATAATATCAGTTTCTTCTTTTTTTTTCTGATTTCTTCCTGAAGTATACTTAAGGCTCCTGGTCTATACAGAGATAATGCATCAACCAATAGAAATTTTACTAGTTAAGACTAGAAATTATAGAAAATCTAGCTTTTCTTTGTTCATCTTTTATAATCGGGTTCTTTAAGGTCGGTAAGTGATTCACCTAAAGCACCCAGGTCTGGTGGACCTCATAGCCTCCCAACTTATTATCCCATCCGGGGTGGTCTCTTAGGGTTGGTAACTTTAAGGTGTATATAGTACATGTTCTTATGTTGTGCCTTTGTGTTATAGTGTACTGTGCTGGTGCTTGCATGGTGTACTGAGCTGTGGTAACCCGTGGTAGCGCTACTCCTCAAGTGTTTGCATGCAACATACATTCCTTGCAGGTTCGAGAAATATATAGAAATCTCAAATCAAGAGTTTAGAATGCCATGATGACTTATCTGAGACCTAAACTTTAACTACACCACTAGAAAGCATGACTTGAAACGGTAAAAAAACTTTTATTTTTAAAAAGTTTCGGTATCATCGTCGTTTTTACTGTCGATAGTTTTCTCCTTTGAAAATAGAACTTTTTCCCTTGCAACTTTTCAAGCTAGGGTTTTACACAACTTTTATTTTTAAAAACTGTTATTAAAAAGTTCAGTCGATTTCGTTTAAAAAAATCTATCTTAAAATGACTTATTCAGAGCACTCAAAAAAATGACAGAATAGAATCATCTGTAATTCATTTAAGACAAAGAACTCTAATCTAAGCCCAATTACTGTTTACTTTTCATTTAACGGAACTTTTTTTAAGAACTTGAATAAATAAAAGTTAAAAGTTAGCCTTAAACAAGGAACTTCTTTACAAAAAGTTGCTTAGAACTTTTAGTTTAAGAACTTTTTTTCCTAAATAGTTTCACGGGAACTGTTAAAATAGATCTTTTTAAAAAAGTTTCAAACCCTGCTAGGAAGAAGTCTTGAAAAATTTTGAAGAAAAATTCTCCGCTCGATAATCCTTTTCTTTTTTTCGACACTTGACTATATTGACTCAGGAAACCTTGAAACGAGCATTTCTGTAGACAACGTTCTTCACAGCCAAAATGGTTCCTCTTATTATGTATTTCATAAATAGGTAAGTGAAAGTGAGAAAAAATGGTGAGAAGATTTCAAGCATTGTTGCTAAATTCCTTAAAAGCATTGCGTTGTAATTTAAAGGTATATACATATACATTAATATATTCCAGAAAACACATTGATAATTACCATATATTAATATTATAAAATTAATACTGTTTACTAATTTAAAATGAATAGGTTCACAGGTCCCCTCTCGCTCGCATTAAGTAACACCGTTTGAGCCAACTCTTTCAGCCCAAGTTTGTATTTTCATGATCTATACTATAGTAACATTATCTTTTTAACCAGACATTCAAAATAACAAAGATCCAGTGTTTCTTATATTATGATTGTTTCCCAAACCTTAGTACGTCCTGAAAAGTCCTAGAGATTCGATTGTCAGGTTGAGGGGTGATGGTAAGAAGGGTTGGAAAATTGCACTTTTTTCCTATTCTCCAAAACACTTTATAAATGGAAAAAATAGCAAAAACTATATGAAATGGATTCAAATTTTTTTTTTCTATTAAAGGTCAAGTTATTATTATTATTTTTTTTTTTTGTAACCTTAATCTTTTCAATTGTGAAAAATATAATAAAATATCCTTTTTAACAAATATGAAACTGCTTTTGAAATCGTTGTAAAATATTTTTGCTTTTGATTAAATAATTAATTGTTTATATAGACAACGTAATATGCTGCAATAATTTAATATTTTTCTTTT